CTCAGCCCAGCCGAGAGGGTCTCAATGAGTTTTTGGCCCCAGAAAGGACCAGTGTTTGTACCCCTGCTATGTTTGCCTTCAGCTTTCCTGTTTTGCTTAACTGCAGCCTGGAAGAAACCGACTTTTTCACACCTCGCCGCTGAGTTTTCGGTATCATCACCTGGCGGTGAAGCACGGCGAGATAACATCTGTCCCCCGCTCTGCGTGGGTTTCCTCCACGGCCGCTGTCTGCCGACAAACACCGCGCCACGGCCCGCGGAGAACGGCTGTCGGCAGGGCACCGACACTGGGGCATTTCACCATGGTCCACACCGGCAGAGGTGAGCGAGAAATCGGTCCCCAGCGCGGTGCGGAGGGGAGCAAAGCAGCCTCTTGTGAGCCACGGGGCTCGACCGGTGACCGCGGCCATGGCGACTCACCTTCTGTCCGCCGGGCGAGGAGCAGCGCCGCGCACAGTGCCAGGGCTGTGGTGGAGGGGGCCATGCCGGCTCAGCATCCTCTGTGGGTGTGCAGGGTGCCGAGGTCTGCTCGGGCGGCTGCGAAACGCTTGTTTTTCCCCCCGGAGGTTGGGCTCGGTGACGTCTCGGAGGCGTAAACGTAGCGGGAGGAAAGTCGCCGTGCAGCGACTTCCACTTCTCTCTGCTGTCCACCCACTCACCCGCAACTGATCTTACAGCCCAGGCTGGGCATTTCCTACGAACAGCCTTAAAGGAAGAGCTCTGGGGCTTTTCTGAACAAAACGGTGCGTGGCTGAGGGAGGGAAAATGGGAGTAAATCACGTGTCTGCCTCTGCTGCTTCATCACTAAATCGGGTGGTAAAGCGCAGGGGGTGAGCGTTACCACCCGTGATGGGGATTTTGCTGAGCGCAGCGTCCCCCAGCAGTGTCCCCTTTAGGCAGCTGTGAAATTGGGAGGGGGCTGTAAGCATCCCTGGGGGCTCTGGCAGCTGAGAGCCAGACCTGGGGCGCCCATAGGGATGCTCTGGCCCCACGGCCATGTCCTGTGTGTCGGTGCTGGCCCTGGGTGCGAGGACACGAATTGCCACTGAGCAGACTGCCCGTCCTCTGCTTCGCCTTCTGGCAGCCAGATTACAGCAGAGCTGCCTTGAGGGCTGTCCTGGGACCCGCGCAAACCCAGGGGCCCTGGTGCGATGGAGAGCAATTTGTCTCAAGAGGAGGAATTTCCCACTGGGGAATGAGTGGAAAGGCCACAGATGGTAAAGAGCAAGAGAAACCGACACTGCTCTGGACAGCCTCAGAGCTGCAGAGCAGTCCCTGGCTTGGCAGGCATAGGGACAAGGGACATGCAGCAGCCTGGCCCCTTAAAGAGCCATCTTAAGTGCCTGGAGTGGGAGATTTCTGCTTTTCCCTTGACTCATCCTTCCTGCTAAACCTCGAGGGCTTCCACGAAATCGCAGCCTTGCCAGAGCCACCAGCAAGGCCCTCAGCTGCAGGGGGAACCAGCACTGTCCTCAGGCCTGGCGGCAGGACCTCAGGGACAGCACGGTGGCACCCGGGGACACGTGGGATTCGGCTTCGCTCTGCCAGGACCATGGGGCATACGAGTACAGGGTGGTGGTGCTGAGTGCCACCGGCCATAGGGACAGGCAGGGAAGGATGGCACCAGCAGCAGGTCCTCTCCCTGGCTTTTTGCCTTGTTTTGGCTTTATTTTTCTCTTTTCAGCTGATGTCCTGTCGTTCTGCTGTCACCCCGTGAGTCAGATCTGGCAGCCACTGAATTTGGGAGTCCTGAGATGAAGCGCGGCCCTGTCCCACACAAAGCCGCAGCTCGCGTTTTCATGTCAAGGGGTGAAAAGCGAAGACGACGGCACCCAAAATGAGGAAGGAGGGATCCTGGTGGAAAGGACGTTGTGGGGCTGGTCCTGCGGGTAAGGCAGGTCAGAGCTGGGGAGAAACAGCTGGCAATTTAGGGGAAAATGAAACAGGCCGAGGAGAGACGGCAGCTCTGCTGAACGCTCAGATGCACGGGCGCTGCTGGGTGCTACAGGAGGAGCTGGTGCCAGGATGTGGCTCTCGCGGTGCAGACGCTGCCCAGGACCCCTGTTTTGTCAGTGCTTTCCCCTCATGCTCTGTGAAATGTCACTTGGCAGCCCTGAGGCTGCAGAAAAGAGCAGCCCCACGTTTTCAGTGTCAGCAGGAGGGGTTTCGAGTTCACAGCTCAAATCAGCCCCTGAGAATGCTGCCAAGTTTCCCTTTTCAGCTTCAAAATACTTGATTATTCTTCGCATAGGAATGGCCACGTTTTTAATCACCTGGAAATCACCTGGGTCAGAACCGTGCAGCAGCTCCCTCCCCTCTGCAGCTCCTTGGGGGCAGGGGGCTGCAGCACCCCAGTCCCATGCCTGGCTTCTGCGGGACCCTCAGCCCTGGGCTGGGGGAGTCTGACAGCCCCGGCAGGGCTCGGCCACCAGTGCAGCACCGTGCACCTTGGTTTGCTGGCCAGGAGGGTGGAAAGGTGCAGCAGAGCTCACAGGAGCAGTTACCAGCAAGAAAGTGCAAGGATCTCACCCAGAAGATGTGCAGGCGTGACATTTAGCATCAGGGTGCCGGGGTCAAGCTCGAACACTCAGTTCTCTGTAACTCGCTCTCTGTAGGTGGCTTTGTAGAAACCCCAGCGAGCTACAATTCATTCCTGGAGCTGGTACCTGGAGCTGCTTTCTGAGAATCCCTGTTCAGAGGAGGATGCGGCAGCTCACGTAGGTACGCGGGCAAGGACAGCTCGGGGATGCGTCTTGTTGCTTGGCCAGCTCTTGCCTCCCTGCATCCCAATGGGGCAGCTGTGAAAAGCAAAGAAAATGGTGTCAGTCCTGAGGGTGACAGCTAAGAGGAGCGTTTTCCAGCCTTGAAATCAAGGGGGATTGAGGCAGGTTTCCTCCAAGCTCGGATGGCCCTGCTTGTCTCCTGCCCTAGCGCTGAGCCGGTGTGGGTGGGGAGCTGGATGAATAAGGGACTTATGCTATGAATAATGACGGGAGAAACGTGTCTGGGAAAGAGAGCGTTGGGATGGGGCTGACGGGAGGGACCACACCGCCCAACGGGGCCGTTGGAGAGGCTGCCCTTCTCCCTGCCAAAGCACACACTGCCCTTGCACTGCCCGGGCCGTTTCTTGCAATGACCCCTTATCCAAAAGGATGAGATCCTCATCCACGTGTGGGGTATGTGATGCTGAGGGACATGGATCTGGGGATTGGAAAGGACATAATGAAGATGGGCTATTTTCCTTTTAATCTGGATATTTTACCTGTCTGTCAGATGTGAGTTCTGGGTTGAGCAAAGCTCAAGGAGGAAGCAGGAGGCCTCTGCTTTCTCCTTGCACAATGCAAAAGCATCGCTCCATTAGGAAAAGCTTCTAGAGAAACTAGAGGGAAATGGCTTTTCTTTTCCCTTGAACAGGGCTTCCTGGGCTTTTCCCTGGGGCCTGCGAGAGGCTCATTGGCACATGGTGGAGAAGGGGGATGCCATGGGGATCTCCCCCGTGCCTGGGCTGCCGCTGTTCCCCGGCATTCCCAGTGCCTGGCCAGGATGACGGGCAGCAGAGGCAGGCGTTTTGCATGTCGTGCCTCGGAGCAGTTGGGAAACAGGCGGCAGCGGAGCCGGGCGGCAGGTCGGACTGGTTTCCCTCCGCGCCCGGCGCTGGCACTGACGTACGAGCCCGCTCGCCAAACAGATTCTGCCCCGTCCCCGCGGACCTGGCTTCGCTCTGCGCAGCGAAGGATGGCTGTGCCGGAGCTGTGAGCGCAGCCCAGCCCTGCAGCGGCCGATGGACGGGGAAACCTCTCCGGTAAGGCACAAGGAGCTATCCCGGCTCCGGCTCTGTGGTTGTAGAGAGTTCGGGGTTCAGTGGAGGGCCTTGTTTCTCCCTCCTGCTCTCTGGGGCGTTGCTGTCGCAGAGAAGGACTCGGGGCGAGCTGCCTGTGGGGCTGCTGCTGCCGGCACCCCCTTGGCACACAGAGGGAGAAGGAGCACCACCAGCATCCCCGGTGTCAGGGACTCTGGCACCGCTGCTTTTCCGTGCGGGAGAGGATTTGTGAAGTGGTGGGGTGGGCTAGGGTTAGGCTGCTGGTGGGAGCCAGTGCCCCTTGGCACCCACGGGACCTGTGCATCCCTTGACACCCATGGGACCCGCACATCCCTGAGCCCTCTGTCTCCTCCTGCCAGCACATCAGTAGCAGTGGCAGTGACACCGATGGCCTTGGCCCCCACTGTTCCCCTGGGAGTTCTCCCTGTTCTGTTTTTGGACTGGATTGACTGGACCCTGCTCAGTCTCAGCCATGAGACCTTGCCGAGCATCCTGTCATGAGGAAAACATCTTCCCGGCTGGGCACGGGGCTCATCCCGCCGGGGCGAGGCAACGGGTAATTACGGCTCCGAGCGCTGCCGGCTGGGGCAGCCCCGCGGCGGCCGGCTGTCCCAGCCACGTCCGGAACGTGCACAGCCGGCAGTGACGGGGTGGATGGGGCTCCAGGGGACACAGGGCTGGCTGTAAAAGTCATCCTTTTCCTGCCCTTTGGCATGTGAGTGCCCCAGAGGCAGAGCAGGCTCGTGACAGATCCTGGCTGGGTCCCCAGTGATGGAAGGCACTGCTCTGCAGTGCGATCCCAGCTCTGGGTGGCCCCAAAAACGAGCAGTAGCACTGCATCTTGGTGAGAGTGGGGCAGAAATTGGGATGCCCACGTATGGGGATGATTACCCAATATTGGGCATCACCACTGGGCCACTTTGGCTTTGTCACTTGGATTAAGTGGGCCATTAGGAGTCCCAGGTGCCACCCTCGGCCCTGCAACTGCATGAGAGTCGCTTCATCTTTCCGTGCTTCGGTTTGCCCATCTGTGAAATGGGCTGAGCAGCAATTAGTCACCCCCCTGGAACATTTTCTGATCTCTGCCTGAAGGGCTGCTCGCATTGGCACAGGACGACCTGTCCCTGGCTGGATTGGGCTGACTCAATCGACACCGCTTGTCATATGTGCTTGCAAAATGGTCCTTGCCAGTTCTGGGATTTCACTTCCCCACGCGTTGCCCCTTTGCAGCATCCGGGTCTCTGCAGTGTCCTCGCCATGTCCCCAGCTGGGGGGCCATGGCTTTTACTGGGGGTCTGGCCCCGCTCAGCCGTGGCACTTGAGGGGGACGGATGTCACCGGGGGGGGGGATGGAGGCATTCACAGCTTGGGAAGGTTTTGTTCCTGGCGAGCACAAGGACAATGGCGCTGTTGTGTGCTCGCCGTGAACAATTGATGCTGCACAGCCAGGTGAAGGAGCCGGTTCCCTGCCCTGGACAAAGGGCTGAGAGCTGATGAAGGGCAGGCTGCCAAGCTCAGCTGGGAAAGATGATCACCCATTCAGGCAGCTCCTCACAGCTTATTTAAGCCGGGCTGCTCCCTTCTCTCCTTGATGCTCCAAGTTTTGGGCAGGTGCTGTCCCCTCCTGGGTCTGGTTGCAACACCCCAGGTGTTGCCGGGCTTCT